TATTTTCTAATTGTTTTTGGCTTTCGTTCGTAATTGTAGTGTTTTGCTCTGTTAATTTCCAACAATCCAATCCAATAAAATTATTCAAGAATTGTCGGTATTTCACTGAATAATATATCCATTTTTCAATTCCTAATCTGAGTTTCACCTTTGTCTTGTCTTTAGATAATTTCACTCCTGTTACAGTTTCATTCTCAGCGGTTTTTATCTTCTTTACATAGGAAGCATCACATCTATTCAAACTTTCTTCAATAAAAGCCCAGAAGATCCGTATTTGAGTTTCTTGGTGCTTGGTTTTGAATATCTCTAAATCTATTACATTTTTTCTGTTTGGTATTTTAATATGTAAGAGAATTTCTTCTCCGTTCTTCACAATACCTACAAGCTCATTTTTGGAAAGAATCAGTTCATCCACAGAACATTGCAAGTTCTCATCTAAAGGAACGACTTCAATATTGTCATCTACATGTACATGATCATACTTTGTTGTTGGATTAGTAATTGGAATTGGTGGTTTGTGTTTTCTACCGCACTTTTTCCTTCTCGGGAATTTGTTATTGATTGCCAAAGGAAGAAGTAATGGTTCATCCTTTGGAATAAAGTGTGGAATAGTGGAGGTTCTGTTTAATTCAATGTTGATGTTAAAAAAAATGCAAACACCCTGCAACAATTCCACAGCACTGCGACCCAAATAATTTTGAGCCACCGGTAAGGAAAGTATTACCCTATAAATGTGCTTGCATGGTCGGCCGCAGGTGTGTAGAAAATCATCACATGAGCAAAAAAAACCTTGCTCACCAACAACAACAAGATAATTATCATCATCTGATTCACTTGGTACAACATAATTGTTATCACCAACAACTATAGGGAGTTTCACCATTTCTCGGGCTTTTGCCAACCGTTGATTTGCTTCTTTTTCACTTTCATTGAAATCGGTAGGAACAACATTTAACACTTGTCCTCTTATTGCCAAAATCGACAACAATAAACAAACATGAAGAGATTTCTTCTTCTGAGTTGTTCCCTTGATTTGCTTTTGTAGGCTCTTAATTGCACTTTCCACATAATTGGTCGTGTTCATAAAAGACATGCTACTTGTTCGGCCTGCATTTGTTAATAAATGTCGATGCTTATTCCATTGCTCATGGAAGTATTTGTAAAAAGCACCTTCTTTGTCTGTGTTTTCCAAAGCCTCTAAACAATCATGGTAGTCATCATCATGTGTGCTTATGAGCATTCTATAGACCAAGCCTAACAATTCTGATCGAACTTTAGTATCGGACACTTTGTCTTTCAAATTTGATTGGATGTCCTTGATGAAATGAAAACGGCATATTGAAACTGAAAACCCTCTTTCTTGAAACTCGTTTAATGATGAGTCACAAGCATCCACACCTATATTGTGAATAGTAAATGGAATGTCAGCTTTCTTGAAGATTGATTCTGTGATGTCAACTACATCTTTAACACCTTCCTGTTTACCTCCAGTGGTTACTGCTATGGCGACCACCTGACCTTTACCGCAGTCGTCAACTGTAACAAGAGCATAAAAACAAACATTGTAAACGGTATCTCCACCA